TTTGACCATTATTTTTCGATTTTTCTTTTAAAAATACTCTCATAACCCAAAATTTCACCCATTTTTCCTAAAATCGTTTTCAATTTCATCATCCATCAAATTTTCTTCATTTTTACACTAAATTAAAATTAAAAAATTTAAAAAATTGCATAAATTAATTTAATTTACATTAAATTAAAATTGGGCATTACAATCGGAGCGTGATATAATTAATAAAAATAAATAACTTATAAAAGAATTGGTGAAAAGCTAAACACCAAATAAAATCCAACTCTAAATGAATTGGTGAAAAAGTAGATAATGTATATTGATAAGATACGTATTAATAAGAGAATAATTGAAATAGGTAAATTGTTTGAATGTACGTAGATATTTAATTATTTAAAAATTATCAAAACTAACAATTATTCTCAATAAAATTTATTTATTTATTTTATTTATATAAAAAAATGATAATAATAAATATTATGCAATAGATAATTTTTAAATTTTTTTTAATTTATATTATAAATAAAAAATTATAATTTTAAATTAATTTTTTATATTAATTATAAAAAAGTTAAATATTTATTCTTTATAAAAAATTATTTTTTGATATTTTAAGAAAAAATTTATTACAAATTAGAGTTTAAATAATTTTACAAATTAAATGACTGAATTATAAATTAAATGAATATTTTTTCTTATTTTTTTATTTAATATTACATATAATATGATATGAATAAATTGGTAATTTGACTGAATATATAAACATATCATAGTATCAATTGAAACAAAACAATTATTATTATTATACATTAATATATAATTTTTTCAAATATAATATAATTTTAAAATTATCATTCAGCGCAATTACCGTATATTAATTACCTACATAAAAAAATCATACAAATAAAGCAGAATGAGACTCTTTCTTTCCCAAATTAAAGAAAACCAGTGCGCTCTATGGGGTGAAGAGGCTCATACGGGCTTCAAGGATTTGGTCCAAATAGTCTTAATCAAGACTGGTGATTTGAGCTTTGGTTAAAATTGATATGCATGGAATTCTGTAATTCGGATTTAATTCTCAATTAAGCTTTCATAACTTTTAATGAAAGATCAGTTCTGTTACTTGAAAATTCTATGTATTTAAAAAAATTAGAAAAATATTTAATACAAGTTACTAATTTATTTTTAATTACTTAATTATTCTGCGCCAATAAATTATTTTTTATTTATTTGATATAATTTTTTGCATAATTACTAGAAAAATAATATTTTGGGATGAAAATTCACAACCACTAAATGAGGGATTAAATTCCTTCAACTGAATTAAGCAAATACCAAAAATCCAGTTGTTGACGTGGTTAACGTAACATTTGGTTGGTGGGCCCACTGTTGGTTGATACAGTGTGGAAAAACAAGTCCAGGTTCATTGAACCTAAAATTCGAATTTTTAATTGGTTTCATCGACTTCCATGCTTTTGCTGCTCCTAATTTAAAACTACGTCCAGATTCAATGTATCTGTTCTCTTTTTGTTTGGCTATTAATTACCATGCATACATGCTAGTTACCCCATACATGGTTAGAAAATCGGACTGGACAAATAAATTTGAATTAAATTATAATATAATTTTTAAATTAAAAATTTAAATACATTTTGATCCGGTTTGTTATGGACCGATTAATATTTTTTTTTAATATTAAAAATTAAAATATTAGTGTATCTAAAAAATTTATTTTTGGTTTATTTAGATTGAGATAAAATTAAATTGAGAATTTCTAATTTGATATTGTCCAAAAATTTTTTATTCGAATTCAAAATTCAATCTTTTAATTTTTTTTTTTTTTACAAAAAATGAAAAAAAAAACAAATATTTCCTTTGAAGAAAAAAGAAAACGAAATGTATCTCTATTATTTATGTGTATGTGTATGCATCACATGATGGTAAGACGAGAGAAGACATCATGAGACGTTGACATACGCGGCATGGTGGATGCAACCTGTTTCAGTTTTTTTCTTTTTTCCAACTATAAATACAAGGTCGCCTCCGAGCACCTCTCAACTCGTTACGAGGAGATATTAGAGAGAGAGAGATTGAGAGTGAGAGAGAGGCGGAAAGGAGGGACACCGCTAACATTTTTCAATCGAGAAAAGCTAAACCCTAAATCGTTTAGCTTTTTTCTCTCTCCCGGTTTCTCCTTCGCCAACATTGCCTTTTTCTCTTCTTCGTCAAACCGGGATACATATTTTTTTCTCAACTCTCTCAACATCCCTTGGATTTTCTCTGGAGCTTCCTCGATTCTGTTGTAAGTTCTTACTTCTTTTGCCTTTTCTATTTTAATTGGTGGCTTGTCTACTCTCTGTGTTATGGGCTTCCTTTTTCTGTGTTCTTGTCGATTTTTCCTTTTCCTGCTTTTGGGGCATGCATTGTACGATCTTCATATCATGTTTTGGTTACTGAGAGATTATGACACTGAACTCAGGCTGAGCGCCTTTTTCTTTTGCTGGGTTGAATTTAATTAGGCGAACCGGTTTTCCAACATAACTTGCAGAAATTAATAAATTCAAGTAGTTAACGGACGAAGAGTGGCGGTGACAATTGATTAGGCATTCTAATCATAGGATTAGGATGAAAGTTCAAATTTTCAAGACTTTGTTGAAGAAATTTTATAAAATCAATTAAGAATTGTTTTTTCTTTGGGAAATTAATGGAATTTTTTAGAAAGATCAACGAATGATAGGAGGAACAGTAAATTGCAAAATTAATCGCCTTTAGGAAAACAAAGAATTAAGAGAACCACTGAATTGCTTCCCGTAAAATTGGATGAGATCCACTCGTTAAGCAGTGAAATGGTCCCAGGTCTCATTCAGCGAGAGACACATCCAATGGATCAGACCCACTTGTGTATTCTTTTTTTACACTTAAAAAATATTTTTCAATTTTCAGGAACTTCACAACCATGGTCTTTTGGGTATTTGGATATGGGTCACTTGTGTGGAACCCAGGATTTGATTACGATGAGAAAGTAATTGGCTTCATCAAGGATTACAGGCGGGTATTTGATCTTGGTAAGTGTCATAGTGGTACATTAGAAATATTAGTTGTTACTGAGGGATTTGGCGGTAACAGTAGTTGAACAGGATATCTGATTTTAATGCGGACTTATTTTCTTTTCCAGCATGCATTGATCACAGGGGTACCCCTCAGCACCCAGCAAGAACTTGCACATTGGAAAATGATAGAGGAGCCATTTGCGTAAGTGGAAAGATATTGTGACTTTTGCGTTTTTTTTAATCCCCAAGAGTTGAGCGATTATGAAGCTGCTGATTAGATATGCAGAGCGCTAGACAAATTCTGGATTTTACTCATTGTTTTTCCTTCTTTTGTTTCTAACTTGCATATATTCTTCTCACAGTGGGGTGCAGCTTTCTGTGTTCGGGGAGGACCTGAAAGGGAAAGACTGGCAATGGAGGTAAACATCTCTTTTAGTAATGTTGACCTAGAGCTACGGGTAGAAGTACCTTCTTGTTAGAAAAAGTGACAGCATTTAGACTTAATTTACTTGAAGCCGATTTGTATAGTTCTTTCAATCACAAAGTGATAATCATATTTTCACCAAAAAAGAAGTGATAAGTTATGTGAAGTAAATATTATTTTTTTTTTGGTCTCAAATCAATAAATGATTATTTGTTTCTCTTGTAGTACTTGGAACGGAGAGAATGCGAATATGATAGTAAAACACTTGTAGACTTTTACAAGGTGAGTTTTCTTCTTTCATTTCTTTTTCATTGGTTACACGCATCAATTTTGTGATGCTGATCTTTGACATATGTTGCCTGTGCTTTCTCCAACTTCAGGAAGGGAATCCTTCGCAGCCAGCTTTAAGGGGGGTCATAGTGTAAGTTACTAGGTCTTATGTTGATAAAATTCTCGAACCAAAATCTTCTTTGTGGAGATGTAATTAATAGACTCTGTTTCTGTATATGTAGATTCACATCAACCCCAGACAAGTTATTAAACAAGTACTATCTGGGCCCCGCTCCATTGGATGAAATGGCTAGGTAAGTAGATGTATATTAGTAATCCTTTATACTTTTGATTTGTTGCAAGTAACTTGGATCCTAATACATGAGTCTTGCGCCTCCAGGCAAATCGCAACTGCTGTTGGTCCCTGTGGGAACAATAGAGACTATCTTTTCCTGCT